CGTGATTACCTAAGAACCAGAGATTTTTCAGTACTCTTGCAGCTAAATAACACGACGAAAAAAATTAAATTATTGTTTCAGCAGCAGACGAAATGTCAGGAACGGAATGCTCTGAGCCATCCAAAGAAATCAGAGTTACTAGAAAGACTAATGAAAACAAAGAACCCGACATCATTGACTTTGATCACGGCATTTGTTTACAACAACACTCTCATTACAGAACCAAAGGGTATAGCTGAAAGACAGAATGCATTTTTCGCCCCAACACTAATAATTGACACCACGCCATTCAGTCATCAAGCTACAATTCCTCCAGCAGAGCCACTATCGAATTTCACATTATATCCAGCCGACAATTCCCCTCTTGTTTCAAATATCAAACTGTCATATAGACCAGGTGCCGATTCCTTAACATCAGTCGTCTTTAAGATGGGGGGGGGGCACCTGACATCCCAATTCTCCTTTCAAACATCTTTAATATATCCATGAAGTTTAGCTAGTACCCAACACGGTGGAAAACCTCTGTGAATATCCCTATTCACAAGAAGGGATCACGTCAAGATCCTGCCAATTATAGACCGGTGAATCACGCTCCAGTTATTTGAAGAATTATGGAAAAACTGATAAAAGTTAAACTGACCAAACACCTCATAAACAATAATCTTATTAGTAAAGACCAACAAGGATTTTTAAATAGTCACTCGTGTGCAACTTGCATGACTGACTTTCTTATTCTGGTTACGATCGCTGTTAATAATGGAAAATCAGTGATTGCAGTCTACCTGGATATGACAAAGGCTTTGACCGGGTTTCTCACAATTGATTACTATCAAAGGTCAAGTCTTATGGTACTGTAGACCCTCTTTACTCGTGGTTAGATTCCTGTTTGGATTCTTGTACACAGGTGGTTAGTAATAATGGGACACTGTCAAAACCTAAACCAGTGACCAGTGGAGTAGTACAAGGTAGCGTGCTGTGCCATTTATTATTCCTTATGTATGTCAATGATATTTCACCGTGGTCCGTCATGGGATACCCTTCTTGTTTGTGGACGACATAAAATTGGTTTATACGTTTGAAAATAACAACCTGATTAATACAATTGAGAATATTAGCTCTGATCTAAGTTCCATCAGTTCATGGTGCAGTGACTGGTTAATGGAGTTTTCGGCAAACAAAAGTTGCATACTTACACATAAGTGCATTCTACCCCCCGGTGCACTTAGTATCAATGATAACACTATTCCGGACGGACCACTGGTAAGAGATTTGGGTATTCACTACTCCGGCTCCTTCAACTTTTCGGAGCATGCCGAGGTCCAAGTAGCAAAATGTGGCAGGACCATACGACTGGTCCAGAAATCTTTCAGATGTCTGGACAGTAAACTCAGTGTCTACATGAACTTTATCAGACCGCATTTAGAATTCGGTACATTAATATGCACTAATATGCACCAGTGCGACAGAGTAGCGATCGAAAAAGTTCAACGCTACCTTACAAAACAATTATTTGGCTTTTGGAATTGCCTAAATTATAAAGAACGATGTATAACAGTGAAACTTGAACCCTATGGCTACGACGAATAAAAATTAACCTAACTTTTTTCCATTCAAACATAATGCATAAGAGAAGTACAGCCTTTCCAGAATTAAAAGATCAGTATTACTTTAGATATTCTTCACGCGGAGGGTGTAAAACCGTCTCTGTACCGTGTTCTCGCAAACGCTTGCGATCCAACTTTTTTATAATCAAATACTCGCTTCTGTGGAATANACATTCGTGCGATTAGTCACGTATCAGCATTCAAGAGGGAATTGAACAACTTCCTTGATGTACCATTGTTGATACATCTGTATGACTCCTACATATCCGAAATTCAAGCATATGAGGTTGGTTTTGTGTTCTGACCAGCTACTTGATAAACAGTGTGGTAGTATTACCGTATACATTGAACAATATATCTAAAAACTTGGCGTGCCAAGTGCTGGGACTGAGACCAGACTGCCACTTTCTTCTGTTTGTTTCAGGTGTCCCTGCAATACTGAAAGATACACTTTCGTCGTGAAGAACGGCTGCGCCCTCTTTACAGTTCGCACAATACGGACCTAGAAATGATGCTAACCAAAAGCAAACAAAAATCATTCTGCACCTTTCCTCTGCTGATCTCCTGAGATGATGAAAACGGCTCTAAGTTGGAACTACGCAAACAATACTGACATGTCTTGAGCCACTAATTTTTACAACTCTTCTGAATGAAAAAGGTTCGTCATAACGAACGAACAGGGCCTCCATGCAGTCTGCAGCAATCCCGACCTGATAAAAAGAATACAACCAAAGAAACATTGAGATTCGTAATCTTGGGGAGTCGCTTATGACAAACTCGAAACTGTACACTTATGCTGCAGGTCAGAGCAAGATGCACATTAGTGCGTTTCTTATAGCTTTTTTCAAATCCTTTATCTCCTTGGCAATGAGGCATGTATGATTTGATGATACAAAGACAATTTTAGTAGTAGTAAAGTAGTAGGTGAATCTACAGCAGTTATAAAGCTTTCTGAAGAATTAACTCAAAAGCATTTTTCTGCGTTTTCGCTAAATTTAAGCACTTTACTTATCATCAAACCAAGCAAACGTTATCAGTTGGTATCACATCAGCCATAGATCATTGCGCTGCTGCCACATTGTCGGTAAACTGGTTTCTTGGGATCAAAGAGGAGGAAGACGGTCCACAAGATGATTATTACAGATTAGGTTATACCCCAAGCCACTTGAAATCTTTTTCTCTTTTATTTTAATTTTATTTCACTGAATGACTTCTGCGCACTTACAAACCATCTTCACAAGATAAACTGAAGAACGCCGACACACTCTCAACAGGGGGAGATAGATGGGGACGTCTTCTAGGGTTTGGTGAAGTAAGACGAACCCTAAATCATATGAGTAACAGGTGCAAATGGTAGCGCTTGCTCGCCGACCAGCCCTGTAAACAGGGAGTGAGCCATTTTTATTGCCTACAAGGGGTTGCAGCTACAAATTTTTGTGCTGCCCCTGACTATGACAACAAAGAGAAACACCAATGGTAAACCACCATTTTAACCCTGTACGCAATACCATGGGGCTTTTTACCAACCCCAGCTAAAGAGTGTTGCCTGATATACCTAAGCTTAGTCAACCGCGAGGTGATCGGGTTCAACGTTGATTCCTGTCCTAATTTTCTTCTCTCATTCCCCTAGTTATCAAATAATTGTGGATAGAATTCCAGTCTTTTTGAATGAAAACTCTATAGTTTGTCTGCCTTCTCTATTTGATGCATATGCATATCTGCGCTTATGTTGTCATTCTACGGAAATGTATCACTCTGAGTTTGTTGGTGACCTTGAAGTTGAAAGTGGGTTGCGCTACAGTGTGAAATGGAG